AAAATACAAAAAAGTTATAGAAAAATTGAACACATCTATAATTCTATATTTACACTATTATTAAAAATACGAATAAAGATTGTGGAACTTTCTTTTGACAAAAATCAAGGTTTTAAAAACTGACCAAAAAAATGGAACGACTTTGGCTTTCGGTTTCAAGGTTGGCGGTTCAATTGTGTAGTTTGAGCGAGTCAAATTAGTAAGATGTAAAATATAGTATTACTTTTATTTTTACCATTAGATAAAGATTAGGTTAAAGTCCACCGTATATATACATTGTTATGATAGGGGAGTGTGAGACTTTTAGAAGGAGGTGGTTGGATAAAGCTGAGAAGGAGGCGGTTGGTTAAAGAGATTTCTATCTAAATCTCTTTCAGATCCCATATCGTTTGCTTCATTGGTGTATCTTAGATTTCTAATATTAGAATAATGTTTAATGTTTAATCTCTCATCTCTTGCATCGCCTTTTTGATTTGTTCATTAGATTTGTAATTTTTTGTTTCTACAACTTAAAAAGAATGGATAAAATTAGCAAACTCAAAATATCCGATCTAAGTTCTACCTTGGCAGAAAACCTCCAATCTGTGTTTGCGCTGATCTAGGTTCTATCGTGGCGAAAACATCTTCAACGGTGGTGGCGGTAGAAGGTAAAAGGGCAAAGGAGATTACCAGCAATGGTGGTGGGGTGGTGATTACCAGCAACAATGGTGGTGGAAGAAGGTAGAAGGGCAAACCCAGTAGCAGTGATGGTGGTGATTACCAGCAACGGTGGTGCAGCAACACCAATAGTGGTAGTGGTTTCCAGAAGGGAAGGAGAAAGTGAAGGTGGTGGCGGAAGAAGGTAGAAGGGAAAACCCAATAGCGGTGGTGCAGCAATGGCGGGGCAGAGGATGAAGATGAAGAAATTCGAGTTTTCTCAAGTTTTTCCACCGGGGTTGCACTGTTTTGGTGAAACCCCAATTGCACAATTTTGGGATCTCACATCCAACTTTTTTCTCATCCCATCCTCTATTTCCCTTGAAGCAAATGAGAGAAAAATGAATACTTTTTGAATATTCCCTTTTTCTCATCCCCATCCACAAACCAAACGGAGCCTTTAAAAAATTAATATTACGCTTAGGGGAAAATTCTTAGGCTTTAGATCAGAACAGAAAGGGATGTAGAAATTTATCTGAAAGTACACAAATTGGTTATGAGATTAAAAATAAGTAGGTTTAGGGTTTTGTCCCAAAACAGAACCCAGAGCCCAAATAAAAATAGGGATTTTTGGATTTCAATCCCCCTTAGAAATCTTTTTTGTAGACCCCTCCTAGTCTACAAGTAGCCCCCACCCCCCTATAAACCACATCCTACTTGTGAATTTGACATCAATCCACGGACAGGATTCAGTCCACCCCTAGAAATCTTAGCTCCACCTAGGGGTGGGCTGAATCATAAAAAACCCATAAAATATTTGTGCCCTCAGAGAAACCCAGAAGACAAAAAAAGCAAACATTCTCTTAATTGTAAAAAAAAGGGTAAAATACAAAAACCTCCCCTGAAGTTTCTAACAATCATAAAAACCTCCCTTATAGTTTCATTTTAACAAATACCTCCCCTAAACTTTTGAGAAATTCAACATAAACCTCCCTTCTGTTACTGTTCCAAACGGAAAACGTTAGATTGATGCACCAGTTTTTTCCAAATACCCATTCTACCTTTTTATAAATGATTTTACATACAAAATTACTGAAATAATCTCATTTTAACTCAACAAAAAACATATTTCAGTAATTTTGTATGTAAAATAATTTATTAAAGGGTAGAATGGGTATTTGGAAAAAAATGATGCACCAATCTAGCATTTTCCGTCTAGAACAGTAACGGAATGGAGGTTTTTGTTGAGTTTCTCAAAAGTTCATGGGAGTTATTTGTTAAAATGAAACTATAGGGGAGATTTTTGTATTTTACCCAAAAAAAAAATTGAACTTTGTTAAGGATTGGCTTTATTGGGGTGTGGACTCAAGAGGTGTTAGTAGTGGCCTAAAAGATGAAAGCTTCATACACACTTAGATTCTTGATGAGTTGTGTAGGAAGTGGTGTTGTACCCTAATCTTATGGGGAACCAAGAAAGCCTGCAAGAGAGAGTTTTAGAGAAAGTGGAGGAGGTTGGCAAAGGTTGTTAAAGACCCTTAGCTTTGTTTAGGTGATCTAAACCTAACTTTCTCCCAAGAAGAAAAAGGAGGAAGGGTCTGTAGTCAAAGCTATCTCTCTGGCAATAGACAACTGCTAAGGGAGTGCGGACTCAAAGAGATAGTGAGCCATGGCCCTTTCTTTACTTGGTCAAACAAGAGGGAGGATGCTAACATCATTAGAGACAAACTAGCTATAGCTTTGTGTAACAGAGATTGGTGGGACCTTTTTCGAAAGGTCAAATGCAAAATCCTCTGCTCTTTGGGTTCAGACCATAATCCCCTAGCCTTGAACACCTAGAAAGTCAGCATTGGAAGAAGAGGCCCTTTAAGCTTGAAGAGATGTGGATAACCCATGAGGATTGTGAATCCTATATAAAGAAATTTGGGAAAGACAAAAGAGTGGTACCTCACAATCTATACATGTTTAGAAAGCAAAAAATTTGAAAAAAGCTTTAAGAATCTCGAACAGGGATATTTTTTGTCATGTCTAAAAAAAGAAGTCCAGTCTGATTTAGAGAGGGAGGAAGCAAAAGATAGGTCTCAGCTGGAACTTAAAAAAAAAAAAAGAAAAAAAACAACAACAACAAAAACAAAACTAGGAGACCTAAAGGGTAGAATGGAAGTTCTATTAAAAAGAGAGGAAATTATGTAGCACCAAAAATAAGAGTCAGCTGGCTGTTGTATGGGGATAAAAACACTAAGTTTTTCCATGGAACAGTCAAAAGAAGAAGAGATTAGAATAGAATTACCATAATCAAAAATAAAGATGGAACTTGGGTAGAAGAAGAAGAAATAGAAAAAACCTTTTTTGAGCACTTCTTTAAAATTCTTAAATCTTCAAATCCAAGGGACATGGAAAACTTAATTGCACACCTTGAAGGTAAAACTGATGAAAATGATAGAGCTTCTTTGGGAAAAGATGTCTCAGAAGAAGAAATCAAAGAGGCACTCTTTCAAAAAAAACCCAAGAAAGGCTCTTGGGCCTGATGGTTTCCCCAACTTGTTCTATTAAAAGTATTGGGAATTTGTAGGGGCAGATGTGGTAGAAGCAATCAAAAATTTCTTCCACTCAAGGCAGCTACAAAAAGATCTGAATTCCACCTTTATTGCTTTGATTCCAAAAGTTAAAAACCCTGAAAATTCTGTTTAGTTCAGGCCAATCAACCTCTGTAATACCAGTTACAAGGTTATTTCAAAAATCCCAGTGAACAAATTAAAACCTTTCCTAGTTAAGCTTATTAGTTTGAACCAAAGTGCCTTCTCTCCAGGAAGACAAATCTAGGAAAACATTCTAATTGCTTGAGGTAATAGATTTTATGAGGAAAACATGAGGGAAAAAGAGATTAATGGCTCTCAAACTGGACATGAATAAGGCATACGATAAAGTTGAGTGGGTGTTTTTGAGGAAAGTGCTCTTAAAGCTCAAGTTTGGAGAAAAGTGGATAAATTGGGTTATGGAATGTATGACTTTAGTTACGTATGATTTGTTAATCAATAGTTCCACTGGAGACACTATTTACCCTAAGGCCCTGTTCACTTTTTGGAAAGTTACTTATCCGGGTAAATGCAGTTACTTGGGTAAGTTTTCCCCAGGAAGCGCTTACCCAAGTAAGTGCATTTATCCATGTTCTTTTATTTATCATGTAAATAAGGCAATGACCATTTTAGTCATAAAAATCCATTATTAAAAAGGGCATTTTTGTCCCATTCAAGTGTTGGCAACTTCCCTCCTACATGGAAAAGTTATTTAACTACCTAAGAGATGGGTATCACTTACGAGACTGAATAAGTGATACCCAAAAAAATAAACTTTCTTTGGTCCTCATATAAATTTGAAAAAAAAAATGAGATTCTTGGTGGATGAAAGCCAAAATCCCATTGACCAATGAAAAGGCTTAAAGGCAATCCAGATGGAAGGAGTTATACTAGTGAAAGCAATCCACAACTATGAAAAGGCTTAAAGGCAATAGATAAATCTTGCAAAATCTAAAGCTCATTAAAAGCATGCAATCTACAGGTCTTGTTATAGAAAGTGACAGTAAAATTTTGGTGGATGCAATCAATGAAGGTGGCTGTGAAGCAGCTCGTCAAGCAATGTTCTTATCTAAGGATATTCTGAACTTTATTTAGTCAAAAAATATAGTTTTCTCCCCAGCTGGGTGAGGGAGTTATGAAGTTATCTAAAAAGGACTGTTACTTTGTATTTGATTTAATCTAATTCTGTGTTTACGAAAGAAAACGAGAAATCAAATTTCTATATATAATATCGACATTAATGAGCACCTATATATATAAAATAAAATAAGTGGGATGCAACTTGTAAATGCAAAAGAGTTGTGATATAGTAATACTTTTTACACGTGTCCATTGAAGGGTATTAATGTCTTTTCAGCACCTTTAGTGGATGGATACATGCAGATGCAGTAACGTCAACACACGAGAATAGGACTACCAACCATATCTCTCTAATGAGACAGACAGCATAGACATCATTCGATGATGACGTTGATTTCTCTAAAAGGATCCACCTTTATCGCATATACACGTGTATGTTTCAGATACGGAGATGTCAAATCCTCGTATGGAACTCCCGGAGAAGCGCCACAGCGAAAACGGAAACGATGGGAGTCAACGTAGACCAACTAATTAACCGTTAAAATTAAAAAACCGCCCAAAATAAAATCTGCGGACTCTGCGTGTTTTTCGAATCAAACCATTGCAAACCTTACAATTAACTAACCGGAACTACCGGTTTTCCCGGTCAAATCTCCACGCTGTCCGTGTTTCTGCTCCTCACCTCTCTCTTCTTCCTCTCGCGCTTCTTTTTATTCTTCTCCTTATTAGCAATCGTTCTTGCTCCCTCCGTGTGAATCAGGTGAATCATACTATGTATTCCTGCGTATTGCTGACGAGATCTTCACCGTCGATCCGCCGAGTAATCGGAATCCAACGGCTGAACATTCGCCCATTTTCGAATCAAGCAGGAGGATCAGCTTCTTCTTCATCGGCGAGCTTGTTTTCCGAGTCGAGCATTGACGACGATAAGCGGAGAGACTCTGTACTAGGTTTTTTCTTGAGGTCTGTTTCAGGGGTCGTTCTGGGCTCGAGTCTTGGGTTCTGGTTGTGGTCTTCCTCTGCTGCTGCAAATTCTTCCATCTCTTTAGCTGATTGCGCGCCAGAAGATACTGCAGAGGAGCGGCATCCAACGCATTCGTCCTTCCGTCATGTGGCGCAAGAGAAGACATCTAAGTTCCTCTTTGGAGGTATTTTCCTTTCGTTCTTCTTGATTTTAATTCCTTCGTAGTAAATTTTTGTTTCGATGCATTTCCTCTACAAAGAGCAAATGTTTTGTTAGATCTGAGTTGGTCCAACTGTCACTGTATTAATATGTTTAAAGTAACTTCTCCTTGTTTCATTTCGGTAAATTAGGTTGGAAATTGTGTAACTATAACATTAATGAGTTATTAGAACAGGGTCCTTTCAAGAAGTTTCTACCTGTCACTCTATGCTTGTCAGCCTCCTGAGGTTTTACCATTCCACTAAGAAATAGTTCCTTATCTGATCATGATGCGACAATATCGGTCTTATTAATACCATGCATTATTTGTTATTTACAGTTAGCTCTATTTGTTTTGCAGAGGCATATAGAAGGAAAGTCTTTTTTAACTATGAAAAACGCATAAGGATGAGAAGCCCACCAGAAAAGGTATCAACATCACAGGAACTTTAGTAATGACCGAAAGAATGTTTTATCTTCATTTTTTTATCAGCATGATAACTTATGTGTCTTAATTTTTTGAGAATTGAAACATATGGCCCTTCTAAGTTGTTTGTTCTTTTTGGACACTAGGAAACTTTAATAATCTTTTAGGATGAAGCTTCCTTGGATTTGGTATGAAGCTACTTTGTATCCATATCCTTTAATATATGTATAACTTTAATTAGACTGGATAACTAACTATTAATGATTTCTTATTCTTAAATGGTTTCTTGACAAACCAATCATATGAAAACCCAAATGATTGCCTTCCTATAAACTCTGCTCCTAGATCCAGGCTGTGCCTCTTGCATTATAAGGGCATGCCAATAAAGCTTCCTAGATCCACAAATTGAAGACCAACCAGATTTAGGAAGAAATAGAATTAGCTCCCAGTAACTGAGCAATGAAGAAGTAAATAAGTTGATGACTCCTCATCACTGGAGCCCCAAATTGAAGTCCGACCAGATTTAGGAAGAAATGCCATTATCTCCCAGTCACTTAGAAATGAAGTAAATGGGTTGATTACTCCTCACTCCTAAGGCACATGATGAATACATGTCTGGATATCCTCTTTTTTTCCCTTTCTATCAAATTAGAAGTATTAATTCTACACTAGGTTGTTTTCTAAGAAAAGGCAACCTTTGGATGCGCAAAGGTGCAAAAGAGAACCAAATTTTTCCCAGGGAAAGGTTTAGCTGCAGACTGGCTATGATGGATTGTAATAGAAAAAAAAAAAAGATTTGGTGGAAAACAAACTAGAGGAGTTAAGTTACTATAACCTTCAGTTAATTCCTGGGGAGGCATAAACATCATTTAAGGACTCAAATAGGGAATCAACTTCCTCCACCTCTCAATTACAAAGTGGTATTTGAATGACATGGTTCCAACCCTTTAAAGGGTCTTTAAACACAACTGTGTCTTTGTCGCTAGAGGCAGAATGCTATCTACAATTTATCTTCCATCAGCAAAAATTCTTTGGCCAAGGGAAATGACTTCACCAATGACCCCTCTTAGCCTATAAGATAACACTTCTACAATGACATTATGTAGACCACCCAGGACCAAAGTTTTTTATTTCATGGTTCCTTCTTTATTAATTATGTCAATGATGAAGCTTGATTTATTGCCCTGTCAACATTGTCTGAGTTGTGGAAATCATCAAACACTTCTATCAAGTCTCCTCTTTTGTTGTCCCAAAATTCGTGATAAAATGCCATGTAAAAACCATCTAATACCAGTGTTATTCTAATCAAGATAGTACACTGCCTCCTACTTATTAAGTTCCATTTCACATGAGGAGGGTACCATATGGAATTTTTTATGTCAAGGGGGTAGTAGATGAAGGGATAGAAATAGGAGAATTGTAAAACAGCAAGTTTTGAATTAGTTCTTAGTTTTGCGAACATCAAATTCAAAGGTGTTAATTGGTCTTACCGTTGAAGGAATTTTGAGATAACTGATTTGGCCATATGAAATTCCTGAGGAACTCCTTTGATTTGTATCTAGGCTGTCCTTTCTCATGGTTGAGGAACCATGACTACAGTTGGTTCTTTCTATAGGGCCCACATGTGTCTTATTACAATAAGCCGGAAATTTCCAAAGTGCTGTTTTATTATAACTTCTCGCTTTGTACTGTTACTACTATATGCTAGTGGTGGTGAATAAACATGCAGAACTTAGAGAACAAAAGCACTATAACAAAGCCCTTGTTCTCTGGAACTAATGCACATGAGGGTTTTTTATAGTAGAATTGGTTTTACCTGTTCAATATTTGCTAAATTTTGTGTTTGTATGTTATATTAAGAGAACATAGTAAAATTATTGCAGTGACCAAGATTACTGAAGATGAGAAATTTTGTTGTAGTCCTCAGGAAGGGATTCTTGTCTTCACTCTTCAGTAGATCATGGAACTGACACTATATGTATGTAGTTGTGTAATAGTCAATGTAATCATTTGAGGTCCTATAATTTAATATTGAACTGAACTACTGATAAAAGAATATGGCACTGAATAGACCAGAATGGTAGTACAGGACTCTTGTAGCCAACACCGTATAGTTGGGACAAGGTTTTATTTAGTTGAGTTGAGTTGTATTAGTAAATGTATCATATAAATTTGTGCCCGGAAATTCCAAATGTCCTTTTAGCACTTTTTAATGATGTTTGTATACTCTAAAAGTTGTTGGAGTGACACATCACTCTACAACTTAGCCTTTATCAATTTGGTGGTCATGTCAAGTACATGCTGCCAGCACTAATGATGTTATGATTGTTACCCAGGAAGATGAGGTATATGTGAGGTTTCTAAGAACCATGTTGGTGCATTATGGTTGTATTTTACTGGCCTTATAGGCAACAGAAACTCTATTCACCTTGCATTGGTTCATTTGTTAAGATTGATTCTGAGGTCATTATTGGAGGTCCTTGATTATATCTTCATCCGGATAGAAAGGTAAGATCTTTGGCATCCAGCATGGATATCTCATTTATATGGGTCCAAACATCTACCAATTCCTTGCAGATTACTAGCTAAGGAGGAGATGAGATTTTGGCTTGTACCAGAGGCCTTCTGAAGGGGGTTAAGCCATCGTAAGCTGGCATTTTGTCAATGTCCTTGCCATTGATATGGAATAGGATTTGAGTTAAATAGGCTGTCACTATAATTATGTGTTTTGGGAGTATTTCTCTAATTAATACCTTCTTTCACCGTGTCTTTTTTTCCAGATTTTTGAGTACTTCGCATCTTTTAGGTCTCCAGAAGGGGAAGTATTTATGACACCAGCAGACTTGATGCGAGCAGTTGTTCCTGTATTTCCTCCATCTGAATCAAATCGTGTTAGAGAAGGGTATTTGAGAGGGGAGAGGAGAGGGGAGAGAACTCCTGGCGAGTTGTACTGTGCTCCTTCGGATTTCTTTATGCTTTTTGATACTAATAGCGATGGACTTATATCTTTTGCAGAGTGAGTTGTCAATTTGTGATCTCTGTATTGCCAAATATCAGTAATAGGACTTGATTTTGTCATAGATCAGTTTCAATTGAAGGATTAATCTTCTATCAATGTTTTGTTAATTTAGAGATGCTCTGGGACCAATCCATCCATTCCTTACTGTAACAGGTACATCTTTTTTGTTACATTACTCAGCATCCCAGAATCAAGCTTTTCTGTGGCATTCAAAATGTTTGACCTTGATGACAATGGGTATGTATCCTGTGATTTTAAAGCATTTTACCTTGAGAATAAAGGATATCTATCTCATGTTTACATCAAGAATTAAGTAGAGTTATAGCCGTGCAAAGTTCCTTTCCTGCCTTTTTTTAGTTTAAGGATGAAGATATTTTCAAATTGTGCTTCTGATACCTATGCTATATGAAGTAACTATTTATATGTTGTTCTTACAAAGAATGTTACTCTAGCCATGAGAATGTTGCTATATCCAGGTGTCATAGGCCATCATTAAGAATAAGCCTTGTATTGCAATCTTGGAAGTTTATCATGTTGGGCAATGATACTGATCACCTTTATATTTAAATTTATTTAACTTGATAAAAGTAAATATGACTTGTACCAAGAACAGGTGTAATGGAAGCATATAATCTTGTTGTTTTCACCTTATGGAGTTAATTTTGTTATGAGTTACATGATACAGTAATTGAGATTTATTTCGTATTGCTAAAACAAAATTTATTTGTATATATTGACATTTGATCCTATCTAGTGAAGTTTGAAATCAATGGATACAATATGTATTTATTTAATGTCCTTGGGCTTAATGACTTCAAGGGCCTCAATCCTAAAGATTGTGCTTTTAATCAACACGCTGTTTTTTGTGTAGAGAGTGGTATATTATAAAGTTTCTTTTCGGTTTTGGGCTCCCATTTTTATCTCTATATTTATGTATGAATAACTTTTTTTTTACTAGTCATTAAAGAAAATGCTTGAGGCATCTAACCATTTTCTTATTAATCGGCAAGACAAGTCATATTTATTTCTACATTTATCTACCAGTGGGCTTCTATTTGGTTTTGTTAATGCCTTTAGTACTGATTGATTACATTCATTTCCAGAGAGATAGACAGGGAGGAGTTTAAGAAGGTGATGGCTTTGATGCGAACACATAACAGACAAGGATCTCGTCACAGGGATGGACTGCGGACTGGGTTCAAAATTGGGAAGTCTGTTGAAAATGGGGGTCTATTGGAGTACTTCTTTGGCAAGGAAGGAAAGTCATGCCTCCAGCATGAAAAATTTGTCAAGTTTTTGAGGGATTTGCATTATGAGGTATATCTCCCTTTTCTTCCTTGTGATTTGGTTAATATGCACTAATGGTTGTTTGATGCATGTAGCATTTCTAGATTCCTTTTTTTTTTTTTTGTATTGGACATTTTATTGGGTGCCTGCTTCACATTACATTTTGGAAACTATCTTATCCCATGCTATGATTTAGTCTTAGTTTACTAAATAATTAAACTAAGTTCTTGCAGTTCAAAACTAAGTTGTTCAGGAATTTTTAGAAATATATTTTCTTGTGGATTCTTTCCAATGTAGGCTTTGTTGATTATAGTTAACCATGACCCAGTCATTTTAACCTGTGCAAAGGACTAAAAGTAGCAGATCAAGCTACTGTGAAGTAGAGAATTTTTCCCTTTTTTTCCTTTTTATTTTTGTGTTTTCTGGGGGTGTTCCACATGAATGAAATGAGAATAAATGTTTGGGATGTTGAGAGAAAAAAAGTTTAGTTGGGATACAAAGGAGGAACTGGGAATAAAAAAAAAAAAAAAAACGAAATGTGGTGAACTGGGTTATTTTGAGCTCAAGGTCCCTGCATATAATGATTAGACTCCTTTATGAAAATAAGCATGGGAACTTTGCACCAACTCAAAAATGTAATAAGGCTGTAATGTGGGGAAATAACAAGGTGCAATCTTTTGATGGACTCTTGGTATTGAAGTAGGTTTTTCAAGATGGATTTTCTACCATTTTATATAGGTGATATCCAAGCCTAGCACTGGTTTGGGGTGTACTGTTCTGTTGCCATGTGAATGATTGCAAAGGCAATCTCCTAGTAAACTTGTTAGTGAGGTTAAATAAATAAAAAGTTCTTTTTTTTACAATTGAGAATCACCGTCCTTGTAGATTTTGGACAAGACATTCCATTAACCAACAAAATTATCTTCATCTTTCCATGGCAGTTGTCTTTCTCTCCACATGTACCCTCCATCCTTTTACATGTTCAGAACTGTTGGAAATATCCATAATTCTAGTTTTCTTTTAATGTTCATGGTCAATCCAACTAAAGTTCGGATTAGTGGCTCATTTAGATACTAATTTGTGTCTAAATCTAAATCCATCTTTCTTAGGAGTTAAGGTGCTGGTACTCTCCTGCATCAAGGGGGTTTCTGGAAGCTAGTCTTGTTTTTGATATTTTGTAGCAGCAGATATTTGAAGGGAAATCGAAGCCATGGTTACATTGTCTATTATCTTCTAGTTTCTGTTGTGTATTCTTCAATCATCATTATTTGGTTACATGGATCTTTACCCATCATGTTTTCTATGACTTATAAGTACTCCTTCCTAATATTACAGATTTTGCTGTTGGAGTTTGCCCATTATGACTGCATGTCACAGGGAACAATATCAGCCAAGGATTTTGCCTTGTCAATGGTTGCATCTGCCGATATGAGCCATATAAACAAGTTTCTTGATCGTGTTGATGAATTAAACAATGAACCACAACTCAGGGATAACCGCGTCACATTGGAGGAATTCATGAGTTTTGCAGAGCTACGTAAACAATTGCAGCCATTGTCTTTGGCTATTTTTAGTTATGGGAAAGTAAATGGTTTGTTGACAAAGAAGGATTTACAACGAGCTGCCTCCCAGGTGCTACTACTACTACTACTGCTACCGCCATCACTCCTTAACTCATCCTTCAATTCCTGGCACTGGTTTTTTTTATCTCCCACATCTCATTTCTTCTAATTTCAAAATTTTGTACCAGGTTTGTGGAATTTCTCTCTCTGACAATGTCATTGACATCATTTTCCATGTATTTGATACGAATCGAGATGGGAGTCTAAGTTCGGATGAGTTTGTAAGAGTTCTACACAGACGGGAAAGCGATGTTGCACAGCCCACAGAGGAAGTAGGCCTCATTGGATTGTTATCATGCTGGATGAACTGTGCAAAGAACTGCTCTTTTGCAGGGATGTTTTAACTCTTTTAACTTATTCAGGGCCATCAAGGTTTATTGGAATTTACGGCTCCAAGATATTGATCGACTTAGAAATGAGTGATCAAACAGTGTGGGAGCTGGGATATTTTTCACCAGTGAAATATCGCCAAAATATTTCAGGTACTCATCATGGAGAGTATAAACAAGCAATTCTTATTAAGGATTGTATTGATGGACTAATGAGTACACTTCTGCAGAACCTTTGTTATAAAAGAGGATTTACAGTCTCTATACTGAGTGATGGAATGGAATGTCTGCCTGAACGACCTCTTTTACTTATTGTACAGTTGTTAATATTTGTACATATCTTCCCAACTTTTATTCTTTTCACTTACCTATTTATGTAAACACTGTGATGCCTCAAACGCAGTGCCTAATAAATTTCAAAATCTTTTTCTACAAATCTTAAAATGTGAAGTTCATGTTTTAAACATTCATGGAAAGTATGCTGGATTCCCAATGTGCAAATGCAGTGGCATGTAGGGACAATGTTGGGACTGTTTTATTGATAAAAGATCCCTACCATCCCTACGACCCTAGATGAGTCTGGATCTGCTCCTCACAAAGTGCACCTCACATGGACCTTACAGCTACATCCCACCATGTATTTGGAACATCTTTTGTCCTTTGTGTTGTTATTCATTGAGAGATATTCCCATTTACACGGTGGAATGGGGCTGTGAGGTCCCTCTGAGGTGTGCTTTTTGAGGAGCAAATCCTGATTTCCCCTAGATATCTTGGTTGGCTGATGAGCCAGTAGTTGATGCTTACTTTGTGTTTTTCCAAATGACCTCATATGCAATGCACCTCTCTCTGTCCCCACCTATAGTTCACTTTTTTTTTTATAACAAATTGGGGTGCAACACGAGGACTTCCCAAGAGGTCATCCATCCTATTACTACTCTTAATTCTCCTAAAATGTGTAATTTGTAATACCAAAACAAAAAAGATACCCCCCATGGAAGGGTTGCTTCTTCTAGCGATCTAGATGGTCGGGCCTCCTTCCAAAACCAGTTAAATAGTAATAAAGTGGGGCCTTGCCTTAATAAATGCAATACCTACGACAATAATACATGTATTTATACCCATGTTCTTTAAAAAGTGCTAGAGAGAATAAAAAACATCTGCTAAAGTAAGGGTCCATTTGGTTAACGAATAGGATTGAAATCAGAATTGAAATCGAAATCCCTCAGAATCATAATCAAAATCACTTGTATGCTTATTTGGCTCAATTAGGTATTGGAATCAATTGAAAATTTTCAATTTTGTATCAATATATTTATTATTTTTTATTATTTTATGAATATATAATTATTATTTTATTAGTACGTTGTTATTATTATTTTATTGGTATTTTCTTAATTAATATCTTAGTACTTATCATTAATTTATGAATATTTTATTAAAATATCATTATATTATTATATTATTATTATTATTTTCTTATTAGCTTATTAATATTTTATTATTTTTATTTATGAATAAATTATCATTTAATAAATAATATATTATTATTTTATTATTACTTTATAAATATGTTACTAATATTTTATTATTATTTTAATTATTAGTATACTCTTATAATCATCATCATCATCTTATTATTATTATTATTATTATTATTATTATTATTATTATTATTATTATTATTATTATTATTATCATTATTACTTTCATAATATTTTATTATTTAATTATTAATGTTTTGTCATTAATTTAATTATATTGTATTAATATTTTATTTATACTTTATTATTATATTTAATAATTAATATATTTTTTGTTATTTTTAATTTATTAATATTTTATTAATATTAGGATTTAAGGGGAATTTTGTCATGAGTTCTTTACTTCTTGATATAAACATTGGAATGAGAATCCTATTCCCTAGGGAGGGGGGCCTAGGATGTCCATTCCCCCAAGAACGGGAATCAAAATTATATTCCTACCAAACAAAGAGTAGGAATTAGAATGGGCCATCCTGATTCCGATTCCAAGCACCTATTATTGAAAATCAAATGGACCCTAAATGAGTAAATGTGCATGTGTGTCATAGGTGACAAATTCAAATAATAATAATGATGATGATGATGATGATGATGATGATGATAATAATAATAATAATAATAATAATAATAATAATAATAATAATAATAATAATAATAATAATAATAATAATTTTAGTGTTCTTATCAAAACCAATGTAATAAAGATAAGTAATTGAAGCATGTTATATTGGTGAATTTATTGTCTTTCCAACCAAAAGACCTAGCTTCAATTCTTCTAACTTGTTGATATCAATGTTTTAAACAATTGTAGATGAATTAAATAGTCAAACTATCACTCAAACAAATTTCTAAGTATGTTTTAACTCCTATCACTTTGTTACCAAAAAGAAAAAAAAAAGACATTGACTTAGTCAACAATCAAATGACCTAAATGGTTGAACTACTAACCTATTTGACCATGTGAACAGGTTATGGATAAGGCATTAGTTTGCATTTTTTTGTATTCTAACCTCCACTACCATTAATTCTCGTTTGTTGCACATTTTTTTTTTTTGTTTAATGTGTTGAGAATATTATATTAAAGATACGTTTAAATTTTCTATAAAATTTATAATATTTTCTGTATTTTTATTTTTATTATTTTAACTTATGGTATCACATGTTAAATTGTCCGATTGAAAGGAAAATGTAGTTCCAATCAATGTTTAGAACATTGGTTTTTTAAGCAGTGTTTTATATTTTGTAATCAAACCAACTAGTCATGAGATTGGTTGACCCATCACCTAGGATCTTGGGTCCATTTACCACCGTATTGCTTGCTTATAAAAAAAGCATGACTTAGTCAGCAACACATTGACCTAGTTAATTGAAAATTGAACCTCTGGGATCATGGTTAAACATTAATTATTTTCTCTTTTCGATTCCATCAACAATAATTATTCATCACATTTTTTAGCATGATAGATAGCGAAAACACAAATCAAGCTATTCGAGCTCAACTTGTGAAAAGTTTGATTTAGCTAGGTCTAAATTGAGCTTTGAGCTGATACAAGTCCAATAAAGCTCAGCATGTGAGGCTCGCAAGCTTAATCAATATTTTATATAATATATATATATACACACACACATACAGAATATTATATATAATATAATATTTATTTTTTATATGTATAATAATAATATTTTTATAATTCATAAGTTTTTTATATGTATATTTTTTATTTTTATAGAATGTTGGCTCACAATTGAGTTCGATCTGAGTCAAGCTTGAACTTATGAACCTTTGAGTTGAGTCAAATTCTAGCTCAAGACTAGCTTGAATCAAGCTCGAGGTCAAGCTTAGCTTCATAGTTTTTTGGTGAGCCAAGCTCAAATAACTTGATATTCGACTCGACTTGGCTCAAACCCACCCCTAAATTGATAGATATATAGTATTAGAGATATAACCATATTTTTCTACAAAAATTCTATATCTTTATGACTTATTGTATTTTTATCTAGTTTATTAAATTTTTATTATATGAAATAATGGGTTAACCCATTTAACCTAGATGGTTGAACTATTGACCTACCACATGAATGGAAAATTCATTTTGCTCTTTGGTCAATTTTAAATTTTGTACTGATTTCCATCATTACTAAAAATATGTATTATTTTTACACACTTATTTTTCTTCAATATGATAAATATATAACGTTAGAGATGTGCTCACTTTTTTTACAAAATATTTATGTATTTTTTGTATTTTCTTGTGTCTTGATGTTTTAAAATATTTATTATTTAATTAATTATGGCATCATGGGTTGACCTATTTGATCCAAAAGGTTGAATCATTGACCTACTATGATGATCATTTTTAGATCAATTTTGAATTTTGTATTTCATGTAGATCATTAATAAAAATATTATTGTTTATCACACTTATTTTTTTAGTAAGATTATTATATAATATTGGAGATGTGTCTAACTTTTCTTTTTTTTTGTAATTCTCAATAATTCTTTGTATGTTTTCTATTTTTTTTTAAATATTTAATGAGAGATATGTCCAAAGTTTTCTATGATTTTTCATTTTTTGTTTTTATCTATTTTAAGGTTTTAGTATTACTTTTAAAAATATAGGTTTTATATGTTTAAAGTTATTTTTCGTAAATTAACCGGTGGAATCTAATGTTAAGAAACAATGATACCTTAAATATAAAATTTAATGAGAGAGAAATGGATCAAATACCTTAAATATGAAATTTAATGAGAGAGAATATAATGAACTAAATAGTAGTATCAAAAGAGTAATGTTTTTAACCCATTGTTGACATCAAACAATTCGAACCATCACCTAGTTGACTTTTTGGGTCTAGTTATTATAAAACCTGGTGTTGCCCCAAAAACAGTTGAAAATTCAACAAAACCATCAACCCGGACAGTTGAGTCGTCAACCCAATGACTCAGTTACTGGGTTGTGGGTTGTAACTATGTATGCAAACTTCAGGAGGCCATAACTTTGCATTTCAATCTTCGATTAAGGTTTTTTTTAGGTAACTTTTTGAGATCTATGCGTCCCAAGGAGCCAAAGGCACCTTGCCTTGTTATTTTCATGAGAAAAACCCTTTTTTGGCCTCAAATTACAATTTTTAATATTTTTATATAAAAAATATAAAAAATGAATTAAAAACATAAATTAAATATAAAATAATACATATATCATGTTTATAATATAATTGTATATTATTTATTGATAAAATATGTAATATATATATGTATAGACATTGACATGGCACGGGACCATGACCCAGAGGCAAAAATGGTTTGGCCTCCGGGTCGGTTTTTAAAACACTGTGAAAGAGGGTATGTTAGTTAAGAAAAATCCAAAAGCCTTAGAGAGATATTCCTACTTTTTTATAGTAGCCTAGATAATGGGGTAATAAACTAATAATAAGTAACACTCATGATTTTAGAAGTAATGTGGTGTATTCTAGGCAATTAGGCCTCATTTGGTGTTTTTGAAATGACAAGTTTTGGAATTCACCACACCTTTGTTGATATTCTAAAATGTGACCTTTTGGTATATTGTAAAAGCATTTAGGCTCCGTTTGCTTCACAGTAATAGGGGCCCAAAATATGAATCAGAATGGACTATTCCGATTCCAACTGTTTGATTGAGTGGAATCGGAATTCCAATCCCATTTCTGTTGGAATGGCATTTTTCCATTTGAGGGAATGGCCATTCCTTGTCTCTTTCTTGGAAATGAAATCCCATTCCTACTGATTTTAATTCCTATTTCTATTCCTGTTTGAACCAAATAGATTGATTGTGAAAATAAACCATTCTGATTCCAATTCTGAAGGATTCCGATTTT